GGGGGGGGGGGGGGGGGGGGGGGGGGGGGGGGGGGGCACAGTTAGTACAGGCACAACTCCTCAAAAGGGCTTTAGTTTTTCAGATACCCCTTCCCGGGATAGAGCAAAACAAGGCCATGTTTTGATATGTCCCCTGCATGAAATGGATTGTTGTAACAAAAATATTTTATACAGCAAAAAGTTATGAAACTGTTAAATATACTGACTCATCATAGACTCACATAGGTAAAAAAGTGCAGAATAAAACCACTGGGGCTACCTAATCTCTTGTAATTTTTCATCTATTGCTTGGATTTAGTTCAGATTTGCACAGATATCTGCCGTACACCTCAAAGTAATATGAATATCAAAATAAGCATTTATTATAAAACTAGAGGCTTTTACATGCAAAGTTGTTGTAGTCAGAAATTTCACACAGACACCTTTTTTAAAAGACACATACTTTTATTTAAGGTTATTTATGATGGTATATTGGCACAATCCAGGCCATCATCACACTGATTAAGAAACTTCGCACAAAAACAATAAAGGGGGTGTTTTTTCTGTCTTTTATACTTTTGGAGATATATATCAAAAATTAAATTTTAAACCCATTAAAAGCCATGGCGCCCCTGATCCAGTTGTTCTCTAACTGGTAGGCGAACCTGTTACTATAACTTTAAAAGTGTTGTAAAATTCATTCCAACAAAATGATGTGAAGATCAAAGCATGTCAGGTTTTTACAAGGAAGGAGAGAAAAGCTGGTGATGCTCGTCCAGTATCATCAAGTCAGATCTGAAATATGACAAAGCCTGTCATGCTCTTGAGATCACTGTCAGTGGAGTGGGAGAGCCTTGTGTCTTTTGTGTGTGATAAATATTTAGTGTTTTACATTTGCACTCCAATAACTCGTGAGTAACACACATGAAAAGAAACACTCCAGATAAGGTTATATGCTCATTTAAATAAAATCTGTTAAATCAGTTTGCTTTTCTAAATGGAGGCATGAAAGATACCGTTTGAGAACCACTGGATGAATTCTCTGTAAAAAATAAATAAATAAATAAAAAAATAAAAAGCCCAGTGGGAATTTTTCAAATGACTTCTTTCTTAGGATCAACACACCAAAACCCAAACGTACTCAACCTACAGTTACCTAAAACAGAGTGGAGCGGTAGATCCTCACATTTTGGCATTTTTGCTTCATATCTGATTTGAACCTAATTATTATTATTAATGTTGTCTGCTGTTGATTACTTTCCAACTAATCTATTAATTATTACAGCACTACTTGTTTTTTTGTTGAATATTAAAAAAGTCTTGTAGTTCAAACCGGTGGTGACTTTTCAATTTAATTAAGTGCTTTGAGTTGCCTAAATATGACAATAAAAATGTTAATCACACTTAAGTTGTACAGAAATACATGAAATGACTTAATGCACGTCTTGAAGAAGGCAGAGCCCAAAATGTCTGTTGGTGTTGCCAATAATTTGATTACAAGACTGAGAGTCTATGGCAGTGATCCGTACCTGGCAGCTCACAGTGGGGTGCCAGGTGGCCCGCTGAGCATTTTCCAACTCAAACTGAGAAGAAATTGGTTCACACTTTTTTTTAAACAACAAATGTAAATAAAATGACAGAGTGCGTAAAAATTAGGGATGACCCAGTCAATTTTTTTTGCCCAGATCCAAGTCACTTAATAGAGACTATTTTCTGATACCCAGTCCTGATCCGATACTTTTATTTTCCTAGGTAATACAGCTGCACAGTGAACACTTCAGAAGAACTTTGTAATAATTTAAATCAATCTTGTGTATATTCATGACAATGTAATGGCTCTGCAATACATTAAGAAAAGTCTCTGCATCCAAGTTAGTCCTTAATGTTCTTTTATTTACTATTATTTTTTCAAACTAATAAACAAAATCTACAAATAACAAGCCCTTTTTGTGATGTTTTTGGCCTCGTCGCTGTCGTGAGGGAATCTCTCTGTCCCTTTATGAGTGTATTCTCCAGTGTTGGTTCTTTGGTGCAGCCTGGCCTGAGTTAGCCTACCTCAACAAACTTTATCCCACTGAGTGTTAATTTTCCCTGTCCGTGCCTCTTTTGCGCTGAATAGCCTGCATTGATATATTATTCTTATTGGCTTTTTGCTTGCGGGGCTTTTGTTGCACTTGCAGTGGTGTAGCAAGTGTGACTGTGGTAAGCTCAGTACTGATGTCCGTCTCTTCCACTCACAGTGAAACACCTTTCGCCATGGATGTAAACAAAATGCAAGAGACCCTCACACTGAGCTGGAATGAAACAACTGCTTATAACTTTGGTAAATAACATAAATAAACAGTCTCATACTGCTTTTTGTTGTCGTTTATGGCGTGTGGAGTTTCGCTGTGGGCAGGGCTCAGCCCTTGCTCTTGCACACACATAGAGTGGAGGAGAGAAAGAGAGCTGGAGAGCTGATGACAGCTGCACTCACTGCATTGCTGTTCATGGAGGCTTTGCGAGAAAAACACCTGTGTGACACCTGATGAAAAGCAAATGATTGGATTGGGCTGGGCTCTATATAGCTCGTTAAAGCCGATCACAATCATTTGAAAATTGCCTTGATCAGCCTTGAATCCCTCCAAAAAAACCATGAAAATAGAGCTTATTTATAAATATTTGTATGTTAATTATTAATGTTTATTTTACAAAAATGGTCCCCAGGCAAAGTAAGTTAAGTGTCCCTGATCAATGGCCATGTGAGCAGAGACTCTACAGCTGTCCTTAAAAGAAATGCTGATCTGAATGTTTATTGTGTTCACCGTATTAGTGTAGTGTTTTAGTATGCTGACATTTGTTAACTTCCACCACACCAAGCAGAGCTGAGGCTGATGAGAATTAGGGTTGGGTACCGAAACTCGGTACTTTTTGTACTTGGTACCGATTCACGTCGGTACTACCGAGTACCGATTCACTTAAAATGAAACGGTGCCAAATTTTGGTACCTGAGGTGGAGGCGGAGCGAGAGCGCATGACTCGCACCTCAGACTCAGCAACAATGGCGACAAAAACAATGTGCAGACAAAAATTAACGTGCAGCACTGTTCCTAAATGTTCTCAATAAAATGTTGAAACTGAGAAGTTTAGCTATGGGCCCGTGCGTCCAAATTCACACCCGTTCTTCTCTGTGGATTTTCTCCACGAC